AAAAGGCCGGTAGTGCACTTTTAATGCCTCTGGTGTTCCAGATGTCCATGGGTGACGCCGACTGCTTACCATCAGGTGATCCGTCTGCTGGTTTACCGGCTTAAGCAAAAAAAAAAAACTTGTGATAAATAATGCATGCTCCAAATCCAATCTATTTAAAGAACCTGGTGAACTAGAAAGTATATCACACTCATTAGTTTCTCTTCTAAAGTTAAGCGTCTTTTAAATGTATCCCCTGAACACGAAAGAAGGGAAACACTACTAAATAAATGTTCTAGAATGAAAAAAAAACGATATCTAATCTTAGCGAGTCTTAGAAAATTTTGTTATATTTTTTACAAATATTACTTGTTTATGTATATAACATATTATTATGAAATAGCAGCTGTAGTTTGTCTCGTGAAAAGATATACGATTTGAATGATAATTTGGGGTCAAATAAACTCCACGACTCGACGGAATTCGACTAGATGTTTAGTCTACTACGTAAAGCGATAGATATCAGGAAGAGATATGATATCTTTACTTACATCTCGATATCAGATATCCCTTAAACACCTGTACATACTGACATAAATGATTATGACCTACATGTCACTAAAGTCTTACACTTTTCAAACACAATGCAAACGTTGGCTCACGTCAGTGTTCTGCTCGGCCGTGGTATCACTCCGGTCGAACCGGCCCATTATTACCGAAGCATGGCTCTCCCATACTTAAATTGTTCTTAACTACATAACATAACGTCACACCTTTTTTCCCGAAGGGGTAGGCAGAAGTGCACGATACGGCACGTACAATGTAACGACCACTTTTCACTATTTATGTTATGAGTCCCATGTAATAGGGGGCGACCATATTGCCATATACCGGGCACAATTTCAGTCTTCGTGCTACTACTGAGGTTTTTTTTAAAAACCCAGAAATACTCTGCAGTCGCACTTGCGACCTCTCCACTAACGAGGTAGATTTTCTTCACATTGATTCTTTCCAGGTTTTAAACTAGCATGCTTGGCAGGTGTTTTAACTTACAGGGGACCACGATATTAAAAATTGAGACGACCTCACATACTATCATCATCATCAACAGCCTATAAATGCTCACTACTGAGCGAAACCTCATCTCACACAGATAAGGTTTAAGCATTAATCAAATAATCACCACGCTTGCTCAATGCGGGTTGGCGATTACAAACTTATAGATTAAATTAGAAATTATAAGCCCAGGTTTCCTCACGATGTTTTCCTCTATCGTTTGTCAGTGGTGTCTAGATAATCTTAGAAAGTAAGTATAACTCGGAAAAAGTCACAATTGTACTTACCGTTCGAAACCTACTGGTTTCGAACCCGCACCCTCATGAATGAGAAGGAATCTTAAACTTCTGGATCACCACGACATGCCTCACATACTATAATTGGATATTATTATGTCGCTTCTAACAGCCCTATCTGGAAGTCATTGGGGGAGGCCTATGATCAGCATTGGACGTCCTATGGCCGTTATGATGATGATGTGTATACTTACAATCCTAAGCATATAAATAAATACGATCTCCGGCCACCGTAAGCGCGGGCCTGCGGACGGCTAGCATGGGTGGCTCCCCGTCCGACCAGAAACAGACCCGAACGTACGGCGCGTCGCGTTCCGCGCGCGCCTCAAAGACCCTTCAGACCACCACAGATGGGGCCCAATACGGCCGATGCCGATTCGGAGTCGCGGAGAACCTAACGGGTAACGGGGGCTCCGACTCGACGTGCAGGAGAAGGAACGGGGTGGTTTTTAGTCAGTAAGAGTCTGACACTCCCTCCCGCCTCACCCAGGCGGGAGCAGTCATTCGATGATTTTCCCCCCTTAAAAAAAAGCATATAAATAAATGACAGCTAGTAAGCATATGAAAGTCAGAAAGTATCACCATCTATAATTACCACGATTCTAATTGACAGTATAAATATAATGTCTGTCAAGGTGATCAGGGAGACAATGCAGGTATTTCGGGAGCTGTCTACTGCCAACTGTTGTGACCAGCTCCGCCCAATGTTGGGGCCAATGTTGCATAAGATATGACTATGCTACACGCCCACTTTGTTTGGGATATTTGAACACAAACCAACTTACAAAGTCTGAAAAGTGCAGGTGAGCATGCAGGTCCCTTAATGGTAAGTGATACCATCCATGGACACCTGGAATACCAAAGGATCATTGGTATTTTGCTGACCTTTAGAGGTGAGGAGGTTTATTTGGGCAATTACTATATAGAATAGGAGTCAAACGAGCAGACGTATCGTCCGCAACACCAGAAGACAGGTGCATTGCCGGCCTTTTTAATATGAATACGTTCTTTTGTTGTTCTGCGATCCTGGTAACCTCACTTCGGATTGAAGTGACCTACCTGTATGTATCCAGGTACCTTTATCAGGTCTCCATGGACAGTTAGCACAAAATTATCAAAGAATCTTAACGCTGTCAATCCGTGCCACACCTATATTTATAAAGATAGATTATAAACCCATCTTATAACGTTTGGTCAAATATTGGTCCAAGTACTGGCGTGTTGGGCCAGCCCTCAATTGGCACCGGATATGCCAAGGCATCCGACACATCCAGACAGGTCTTATTCATTGCTTAGATATGCAGACTATCACTGTACTAACTTTGGACTGTTTTGATTTATTGGAAAATAATTCTTAGGTACACTATTACAACTATTGGACTTAGGTAAGGTAGCAACTAAATATTATTATTACATTAGGCATTTAGTTCACCTTATGTGCCACTATTTAATCAATTTGTGTACATTAAAGACTAAATAAATAAATAAATATATATTACCTCTACAATGTTAACAACTTATTTCGGTTGATCATGCTGCGTTGTTGGTGCCAGTTGCTATTACAGCTACTGAGCAAAGGGTTATGCATTCGATTCTAGGGTCGAATAAAGCGTTATTAGGATATTTCGAATTTTTTAAAATCTCTCGGTAATAGCATTAGAGAAAGATAATGACAGGCATATGAGAAGAAAATATAGTTGGTGCAGATCTGACATAGACCTAAATAAGGAAACATGAGCTATTAGGCGTGGGCAGGATTTGAACCTGTGACCTCTAGTACACGGTGCTCGAGCCTGCCAACTGTGCCACTGTTCTGCCAAGTGTGCCAGTGCATTCTGTACTAGCCAACTGTTTAATTAAGACCCCTTTTCTTTACGTTCAATGGTGAATTGTTGTTTTTTCAATACTCGTTTATTGGTTTAAATCCTACTTATTTTGTCAATTATTCTCAAGGAATTTGGGACATTAATATGTAGTAAGTTTAAGTGTAATAAGTTTTGTATGTACCTATGTAGATTCTAAACCTCTCTGAAATTAAACTGTCAAACACCAAGCGGTCACCGGTGACCGCTACCTATTGTTCTATAATTGTGTCTATAATGACGGTACCTACTTGACGAGTTAAAATGTAAAAATGAAAATCTGAAAAAAATAGCTGTTTTTAAAACAATTACCACATTTTTATATAATTATATAACTATAGTTAGTCAGGATTTTAACCTGAAAACGGGTAAATCGATAACATTCATCATTGTTCTTAAATGACTTATTTCTTTTATTCCACCGTGCTACAGCACGTAGTATACATACTAACATAACATTAAGCCTTTTATCCCGGAAGGGGTATGCAGAGGTGCACATTATAGCAGTTCATGCCACTGTACAATATAACACCCACTTTACACTATTTATGTTATGAGTTCCATGTAATAGGGGGTGAACATATTGCCATATACCAGGCACAATTCCAAACTCCGTGCTACTACTGAGATTTTTTTAAACCCAGTACTTTGCCCGACTCGGGAATCGAACCCGAGACCCCTTGCCCAGCAGTCGCACTTGCAACCAGTTGGCCAAAGAGGTAGTTTACTGTATACTTTTTTGTGTATTACACAAAATTTGATATCTCGTCTCAACATTCATGACACAAGAAAATTCATTTGTCCCTCAAAAATTAAAAAGTTTTTGGGTAATTAGGGTTGCCGAAAGAAAACAATAAAATATTTTTCTATTAAATAGGTATATATTAAATTTAATTGCACCTATAACATCGAAGTTACGTGGTTCTGCAACCACTAACATTATTGTCAGAGAAAATTAGCAAGGCCTCATTCCTTCCTACCAAATAGGACTTTAAAATATACAAAAAAATAGGTACAAGAAAATATATATTTATAAATTATATATGTATAACTCATTCCGAAATAAAAAACATAAAAGTACATTGGTAAACATTAAAAAGTATTTTTTACAATATATTGTGTACTTCTTTGTGTAATGTAATCATTGCATTGTTTTTTTATTTTTTATATATTTATCAATGTACGTGTGAATTTATTTTCGCGCGCAATAACAAAACATTAAGGAGAAAATATTAGTCTTTGGCTCAGAAGTATAGAAAGATTTGATCTTATAGCACCATCTGGACGACGTAGAAAAAAAAACTTTAAAAATAAAACAACATTTTTAACAAAGAATAAGAAAACAAGACATATCTAAGGCCTTCGTCTCACATAATTGCAAGAAATAACAATATTTCGGAACTTATTCGCCTATTTAGTACTTACAAATTGAAGCCAAAACAATTTTTCTTTAGTACATTTTAAGTTTCTAAATATGTATATATTTATACAAAGTAGTTGAAAAATATTTCTGTGCTTAGGTTTATTTTATATAATATAATATGTTTAAATAAAAGCAGGTAAAAACGGGACGGAGTATAGTATATGACGTCTACACACAAGATATGTTTTACAAATATTTATAAAAGTCTTTTAGTTTTTTTTTTTATATAAATATTAAATACGTTTGTGTATATAAATAGTATTAAAAAGACAAAGAGAAGAGAGAAAAGTTTTTATAAATACTATAAAATTTATTTTATAAAAATATACATTATAAAGAATATAATTTATTTTGTAATATAATTATAAAATATAGTTTATTATTTATTTCAAAGTGTGTAGATGTCATTTCTCTTATATTCATTATTACATTGTAGGATTCCATGTGGTAACTATCGGTTTCGAGACCCGTTTTACAATGACTGCCAACCCTAAGTTTAGCATAGACAACTCTATTTATATTTTTAATTACATCATTAGGGGTGGCACTCAAAGTTATTGTTTGCATTTTGTTTTTATATTAAAATAATAATATAAATCTGTTTTAAGCAGCCTAGAACCCGTGCTTGTAGCTAACTTAAAACAAAATTAAGTAGCGCATAACATTTACATCAGTAAATATATTTATAACATAAATAGCTCCTTGTACTTGCCATCTGGCGACGCCATAATAGATCATGATTTTATCATTTAAAACATCACTTAATCTTAAAGTAAGTAGACAAGAAAAATATCTAACAAAAAAGAAGTTAAAGGTACTTTAATAGGAATAAAAATTTTTAGACTCAACAAAATAATATTAACCCAAGAAATATTATGTCTAGATACGCTTAGCGATACGCCTAAATTAAGAATTATGTACATATTAAATATTTCATTAAAAAGAATAAAAAGAGTTGTATTTCTCAACGATCAATAAAATTTCTATGCAGAACGGGTAAACACATAAAAACCAACAATATCTTCAACATTATCGAGCTACCATTCAACAGTATTTACCTCAAGTCTGTCTAAGTTCAAGGAGTTATCGAAAACAATTACAAATTAACTCTAAACATTTGATTATTGATTCAAAATTATATACAACCAATTTACATTAACATAACTATAGGTACTACTCTATATATTACAATAAACTAATATAATTGTTAACGAAAATTAAGAAAAAGTTCAGTATATTATCGTCTTCTTGGTAAAAATCTGATCAGTCATAATTAATGAGTGTTTTTATGAATGCTGCGCGAATTGTCGATGTCTCATAAATTCATTACGAAGTAATATTTCTCTAATGATAAGAAATATGAAGGAAAATGAAAGAGTGGTTTTCATTTGAAATAAAAACGACCATAATGAAATGTTAATGCACTAAAATTTATAAAGCAACAACAACAATAATTATTTATTTTCATTTTTATAATAGTTTTTTATTTTATTTTAACAAGTAATCTTTTATATTTTTCATTAACATCTTTAACAACAATCTTGGTACGACATCAATTAATGGACTGTCATATTAACTAAAAGTCTATGACAAATGATGGAATATTATGACAATGAATTGACGAAGAACTATGATGCAGCCTTTAGGTAAACTTAGACTTTACTGTTATGACTTTAGAGTACATTTTCGAGACAACAATGGCAGTGATCGTGTGGTGAGCAGGCCCTGCCTACGTTTGAGATCACTTCTTTACGACAGGACTCACCAGTTACATCTGATGACAGGTATTAAACGTAAGACTACAAAAACACGTAATTACATAGATTTATAATATTTGAATAAATAATATTAGTTTATAAATAATTCACGTAATTATTCACTGTGTTAACCCTACCTCAATCGCTGTAGTGATGTGCATTCGAATTTTTAAAAACTTCAGTAAAATTGGAATTCACAATTTTAAATCTAAATAAAAATAAAAGTATCAGGATTGATGCTAATAAAGTTGTTAATCTGTGACATTGTAATGGATTTAATCACGTTCTAGTTAAATATATGATTAACGAATTACGTAAGAACGTAGGTTTAAAAAAACAAGTTCAATCGTATGCATCTATGCCTCGTTACGTCTTCTTCTAATCTTACGTTAGTCAGCTTAAAATCTAAACTATCCGTGTATATTTATAAAAAAGTAAACTGTAAAAATCACATAGTAATTCCGCTAACTAAACTTACAATATAGAGGCGTCACATATATTTTTTTGTTAAGTTTAGTTAATGCACAGTATCACACGGGCTTGCGTTATGCCGATTTTTACTCCATCTGTAACAAAAAGAAAAATAAACGTTAAAATCTGTTAAAAAGTTCTTAACAAAAAAGTTCTTAGACCTATCATCTCTAATCAATACTTTTTGATTAACCAAAATTTGATGATATTTTTTTAAAATATATGACGACGATATCGTAAATTCCACTTCCTAAGCCTTGAGTAGACATATAGAAATGAGCCTATAATACAACCAATTCATTCTAGCGATTTACTGCCAATACTGTCATACATCACGATACAATTCCAGATCCCTCATAGACAAAGACTAACAAACCTTCAGAAGACCAAAGAACCAAATTCTCAGCGCCATCAGACACGCTCGCGACCACTAGACAGTTTTAACCAGATTCTAACCTCAAATACAACTTTCAAACTTCACATGACCGCAACCAAATAGTTTAAAAACGGTTTCATGGTCCACACAAGTATGCCAGCACTTGAGTATAATTACGTCACCACGGAAGCTTGCCGACCGACTTTCACAGGTTATGCAACGCCAAATTCAGCTTACATAAGACCCCAAGACCCAATGTCCCAGTAATATTGTTACGTCATCGTAATTTTTGAAGTTGAATGTTAATAGAAAGTGGGACGTGCGAAATGTCAACATTAATAAGTCTATTCACATTGGCACGGATTTTTTTAGAATCGTCATGTTTTGGGTTATTTTAATTTTTTTGTAATGATCGTTGAAATTTGTACCGTGTCGTGCCATAACGCACGGGGTTTCCTTGTTTCGTCTTAGACAAAGATTTGGATGTTTCGAGTTCTAGTGGTGTTTATGTAGTAAAACGACCAGTTACAATCTCGATATGAGGCATTCGGCTCAAAAGACCAGTTTAATAAATTCTTAGCATTCGAAACTGTACCAACCCTAAGCGTAATCACTATCAACATAGTATAAAACAAAGTCGCTATCTGCCGTCTGTCTGTCCGTATGTAAGCTTAGATCTTTAAAACTACGCAACGGATTTTGATGCGATTTTTTAAATAGATAGAGTGATTCTTAAGGAAGGTTTATATGTATAATACGTGCATATTGCACCTGTGGGAAACGGGCTGGTCGCTAGTAAATAATATTTCTAATGTAATGAATGCTTTTTTATGGAATAGGAGGCAAACGACGGATCACACGATGGAAGTCATCACAGTTCCTACAACATTAGATTTAGGTGTGGCATCAGGTAATACATCAGTTACTTAATAGTTACTGGTAACGGATAGCGATAAACTATGGTTCGAAGAAGATTATGTCATAGAAAAAGGTTCTCTATACATCGACATTTATAAATGTGAGAAGTTCATAAGCATCTTATTAAATTGGTGACAAGAAGACGTCTTCGTAAATATTATCTAACTTCTATTCATTTATTTGCATTGTTAGATTTTATTATGCTCACAGTTTGTAGCATTAAAACTTCTAATAAAGGAGTTTTGTACACAACTTACTATTTTTACGCTGTAGATAATAAAGTTACTTGAAAAAATAATAAATGAATGCTCATATCAACGAATATTTCGAAAAACCAAGAAAAACATCAATATAGTGTAATTGGATTCTTACAAAAAGTACTAGGATAACATAAGTTGAACAGGGTCTTTCCAGAATAATTTTCTGTATTCAAATTCAAGAGAGTTGATTAGTTCTTCCGTAACGAGATGTAAAGCGGCCACTGTCTGAGATACTAAACCCTTAGGGAAATCAGATTAATGAACTAAGCTGTTTGTGAACCCAACGCTGGTCGTTTACTTTAGTTTACTAAGAATAGAAAATTCTAAGAACATAAAACAAAAATAACTAGAGAATATTTCAATTTTATAAGCAAGCCATATAACATTTATTTTCTTTTGAGGTACATTAATAAAAATCATGCTAAATAAACCCTTCAACAATTTCCAACCAAGTACCAGGCACACAGAGATCCCAACAGTTCAATTCGATCATAAAAAGATTAAAGCAATCAAAAGTCAAAGTACCAAGTACTATCGTGGTATCCCGCGCCGGAGCATGAGTGCATTACCCGATGCGTTTCGGCGGCAGGTCATTGACCTTACTGTGTGATTTTTTTATGATACTAGCTTGGGACTCGTTGGTTTGTGACCTCGGAAATAGATTGTGGGTTTTTTGTGTTCGGTGAAATAGATCGATGTGTGCGTGGTGACATAATGTACGCACACATTGATGAATATGGGTCGTTGTTTAGATCTATATGTACCTGTATTCAATTAAAGGGAATTTAGAATTGTATTTATTTTATATCTAAAAACACAGAGAAAATTAAAGAAAATAGTTAACGTTATCTCAATGGAAATTGGAAACGTAGTGTATTGTAAGTCTTGAAATAGTAACAATACCTAGCGACGACACCGTTAATGATTAAATATTTTTTTATATAGAGGTTATAACTGCAATGTTATCATAAAATTATAATTACAATTACAAATGGTGTATTTATTCTCTTATCCTAATCAGATTGGAATATAAAACATTTTATAGTAACTACCCTCTATTACATGGGACTCATAACATAAATAGTGAAAAGTGGGTGTTACATTGTACAGTGGCATTAAGTGCCGCAATGTGCACCTCTGCCTGCCCCTTGGGGATAAAAGGCGAACTGCTATGTTATATAATTACCACGCAAAAAACATCCCAGAAAACAGGTATTTAGTCGTACCTAAGAAAGTATAATAATATCAAAGGAATTAGTCACAACTGAAGGTTATTAGAAGTTCGACGGATAAACTATTGTTTGTAAATAGAATCCAACGTAGTACTAGTAACGATAATTGTGAATCAACACGGAAACTTACTTAGAGGATAAAATGAAATACTAAGGAAACATGAACCAGAAGAGGTCTTCGGAGCAGTTTTCGAACATAAACACGCGGCTGACCGCGCTACGAATCTTACAAAACATTACGTTACTTATACAATAATGACATTGCACGCGCATTCGCGTGACGTTTTCTACATCCAGTTCGATGCAAGTGCGATGCACGCTGACGTAACAGAATCCCAAATGTGGGCCAAATTAATAAAAAAACATGGCCACGCCCACTACAGTAGCTCACGCACACGAGCTCGCAGTGAAAGTGCGTCGGGTCGGCGCTAGCGCTGCTCAAAGCGAGCCGATTGTCACTTTAAATGCGGCCGTTGTAGCGGACGCACGGCTGATAATTACATTAAGATTTGAGAGGTCAATGTTTTGGGGGAACAGAAGTATGCTGACGGTTCAAATTATGTAACACCTGTTAAATCATTTCAGTTATCTAACAGATTTAAATTTGAAACTAGCACATCTCGTGTTTAACTACCTGCCCAATTATAATTATTATAATCAAGTCTTTTTTATTATTGCTACAATCAACAGTAAACAACACTTGATTGATTACTTATCACAATGAATCGATATGATAGACAACAACAAAAATACTACGTTTCAACTAGAAGACATGATTCATATTGGTATTTTTAACGTCTTTTCCAGTGTAGATTGACTCAATGAAAAATTCCTAAAATAACGTTTGATAAGATTATGAATGATATGAAAACAAAAGCGTATCAAATCAACTGCATATATTATCATCCGACGCTGTAGCCCTAGTCCTCGTATATTACCGTTCAACATTCATCGCCACATTCATTGATGCGTTTCTAACTATATTGTTAAAATGGAGCAAGGGATATTCAATTGTAGTTGTACAACTACATTAGGTACCTAATGTAAAGATCAAATTATAAATACTGGTGTAAGTATTCGAAAGGATTTTAAAGAGCACTTTCATGTAAGAAAAATGCCAGTACCAGTTTCAATTGAAAGTAATCTTATAGAGATAAGTATTAAGTACCAGAGATAAGTGGATGGGACTCACAATCAATGAGTAATACTTTTCTCATGGAATGCGATCGATAAATAAGACAATTGATTGGCAAGCATGTGGTAGTTTCGTGTCAGGTTCTATTTGTAGCGAAGGGAGGAGATTTCCTTAGAAATGATATAGACACTGGTGTACTATCTTATTCTATTCACTAGGATAACATAAGCATAACAAAGCAATTCTTTAAATCGATCACATCATTGAAAGCTACATAGCCAAAAGATTGAAAGCACATTTACGTCATCAAATAAAAAATGTGAACCTTTTTATAACTTGTCTGCTGTCGAATTATGAGATCCTAGTACAGATTTTCGCAACGAATACTTTTTAGTATGACTCATCATATTTCGCCTTAGATTTGATGATTCCTCTTAATTTGCCAAATTATAAAATAAATAATTAATTTTATACTATTTTCTTTAAATACAAATAATTTATTCAATATAATTATTTTACTTTCATATTATTGGTCCTTTAATCCACAATCTATCTTTTACTCACTGAACCCAAAATATCTATCGGCGATCTATCAGATATGTTTGTTTGTTTATTTAGTGATTTGATAACGAATGTATGTCATTATTATCACTCCGTGCCCTAAATACTCAACTAGCTATGAATGAGTACGTACTTACAAATGTAGAAAACTTTTTCAAACAAACGGAGGCAGTCTTAAGGAGAGAAACGAGCTACGTGCAGTTCGAAAAAACTACATCAGAAAGAAAGAAAGAAGAAGAAAGAAAAACCATTTATTTTTGCGCAGAACACACATAAAATAATTAAAAATAAAAATAAATTATAAGCTAAAAAATGAAAAATGAAGTCTTGTCCATGGTCCACTGACTTATTATTTTGCTGAAATGATAGAATACTTAATATCTAATATTATCTGTGGACCATAGACAAGGACATCACATTACCTTACACAAACGATCTAATTATAGTACCAATTGTGCCCGTTTAAAATGGCCCTATTCTAACACCAAATTGTAATCCAAACTGGCACCCTATTTCCAAGAGAGCATTGTTTGAAAATTTTCTTAAATTACAATGTAAAACGTGGAGTTTCACATCTTTTCTACCGCGACGAAAAACATGTGCCCGAAACAAC